CTTTCACTGAAGCCAAGCGATCATTCTTTGTTTTAGCACATCCAGCTCTCACCATCGTCCCTTCAAGCTCGCCTAAGGGTGCCATTTTGATTGTCACAAAGCACAAATGTGATCTAGCAGCAAAGCCCATCATTACATGATGACGACAATTTCAGGCCGAATTGGTCTCCTCTTAACTCCTAGGAAGGTGTTCATAGGATCCATTTTCAGGTAATCCTCCAGTTGTCTTCGCTTTGTACAAACTAATTTTTCTTCTAACTAGCAGTCCCACCTTAGTCCCACCGACTACCAGTCCAACCTAAAGACCTACGTCAAATATTAAAGGAGTCCGTCTACTGGTTGATAACTATGTGCCTAAACTGTTCAAATGTCAGAGAAAAGCGAAAAAATTGCGGATTTTTTCCCACATTTCGTCTGGTTGCAACATTACGACAAAATTATTTCTTTTCCCATCGCTCCGGAAAAAATGAGTATCCCCCCAAGACAACCGCTTCATCTACAAACCAAAAATACGACGCTTCGTTGAAAATTGCATAATGGACGGTCGGCCCTTCTGTCAGTCGTTTGAAAATCTTCACTGGTCAAGAACATACAAATCTAAGATCAGTATAAAGCGGGCCAGTGCGAAAATAAGATCGGTAGATTATCATAAATATTGAAGCATCTGTAAAAAAAGCATAATTAATGGCAATAAATGAACAAAGAAGTAATGACTATTGATAGAAAGGAAGAATGTTCAAGTATTACATCAGTGTTGACGTCGTCCGAAACGGACTTCTCTATGAAGGATACGAAATCAGAATCCTGCAGAAGAAGACCATCAGTGTCAGGCGGGTTTAGCATCTCCTGCGTAGTGACCTGTAAGCGCATTCCGCAAAAATTTAACACGTGCTACCAAATGCTTTGATCTGTAGAAGAGCGACCATAAAAAATTTGACAGAAGACTTACCATGGCGAAGTTATCCGTTAGTGGAAAATCTCCGTTTGAAACCCTTCCTAAAATTGAGGCCACAATTGTGACCAATTTGTGAAGATGGAACTCCTTCCTGTTTGAGTTGGAGAGTGAGTCGATCATTTGACGAAATATGAGCTGGAATATTTTGGATTTCGGATATGACGACAAAATAATAGGTCAGAAATTCGAAAGAAATTTTTCCTAATGCCGGCATAAAGATTACCATCGCAAATTTCACTGCTGTACTATAATTAGGAGCTCTAAAGCTCTAAAGACGTCTCAAGTAATGTATGAAGCAGATGTGCCGTTTGCACGAGTTAGTTGAGCCGTGAAGCAGGTGATATCGCACAACTCGCCTGGTCCCGCCCCTTCTTTTTGAAGGGGAATCTTTGTTGGCGTCATCAGCGTTTTTTTTTTCGTATCTTTTTTCATTTTTGGTCAAATCGGCATTCACAGCTTCATCATCAACCGCCGTAACCCCACAAATTCTAAGTAGAGGTGTTTGCTTCAATAAAAAGCATGAAAGTGAGCTGTACGACCACTAGCTACTCCAGACGGTGAGAAAGCCACTTTCAGCCAGCCGATGTGCATAGTACTCACAATGACAATGACTCAGGGCTATTACAGCTCACGACTTCGAATATGTCATGCAAAAAAATCCATACACCATGAGCCGGGTGCAGCAAGCCCTAACTCGGGGATGGCTCCCCAAAACTCTAAAAAAACAAAACTATTAATCTTGACCATGAGAGTTGCATCATCGACCAGAGTAGAGACGAAGTGTTTGGGGACCCATCCTTTAGTTAGGGCTTGCTGCACCCGGCCTCATGTCACAGAATCACCGGCAAAGGTAGATGTTCTGGTCTCTCGTCTTGAAAATAGACGACGAGAATTCGAGGGTCTTTTCATGATGGCAGTTGGTCGCAGCTCACTATAAAACGGT